AATTTGAACTTCTCCTACTAACTCACACAAACAATACAATCTTGTTTGAACTCTAAACCAGTGAAGTGGAAACAGAGTAAAATTTCAAAGTTAATGAACTAAATGAAAACTACAAAGATTTAGAATGGTATGACAAAACTTACATGGGATGGGAATTCAAAATCTTGTTTTCCTCCACCATAAAACCTGCTAGATGTGAATCCTAGTTGAAATCAAAACCTGCTGCTTCCACGACGACCGCGGTTGGAGTTAGAGATCCCGGGTGTTTGTACTTTATTCTGCATAGTTTGGAAGAATTCAAATTCAAGAGTGACCTTGTCATAGAATGTTGACACTTTTTTTTGTTCCTTCAAGAAAATATCAAGAATGCCAATCCATTTCCTATACCTGTAGAATGGATTTCACCCGATCGGGTTCTTTTCTCACGTAAATTTTCCGTGCTTGCCTTTTTTTCTCCTCGGCTTTCATTTTTGAGATGCTGGGCCTGTAAATAATAACAGTTCTGCCAATTTGACTGACCACCACAGAGCCAGTTGATTCCTCCAATTGCCTCACCGCATCATCCAGCTCCACTGGACAGTTCCTGAGAATTTTGATCTGTATCCCATGGTTCAGTTTCTTTTATTCTAGTTTGGACTTTCTCAATATTCGACATTTAAATCAGAAAGTACGCATAAATTGGAGCCATTAGTCAAGATTACAAATAGAGAAATCACAATTGAGTTCCAGAGGCTACATATTCCTTCATAAACAAAACCCAATCAAGAAGAAATGTCACTAGTGAAACTTTATGAACTAGTTAAACTTTTCATACAGAAAATGAACGAACTGCAAATTTCTCTCTCTTTTGTGAGAAAATCGTATTTAAACATACAGAAAATGAATGAAGAGCAAGTTGACAACACAAGTACATGAAGATTATTGAAGTTTTTTGTGCATTTAAAAGACAGGGAAGAGAATCATACATAATGCAAATGCTTAACCATATGCAGTCTCTCTTCACGGATGAAATTTGAAGAGAAGTGTATCATTCGAATCTTTGAACTAGATAAGACTTCCTTAAATTCAAATGTTACGATATCATTTCATCATTCGTCAAACTGTTCATTCTCACCATAGTTTTAACATTTCCCGCCCAAGAAACAGGTAATTGTTGTCCAAACAACACACAAGCATTTTAGGTGCAGAATGTTCTTGCTATTCAAGTTGTATAAGAATCAGGAGATAAAAATTTATACAGACAATTGATGTCCCATGCACTTGTTCCCTTCAAGTGGATTAAGAAGACTAGACCAAGAAACTCTAATTCTTGTACCATAAAGACTAATCGGAGAGCATCAAACAACGAAACAATACATCAATGAAGCAGAGAAGAGAACATTACAAGAATCAACGTTACCTTGAGAAGCTCGTTGGCTTCAAGCGTCTCGACGAAAGAAATAGCCAAGCCAGGAGTAACGCCAGACTTGCCCACCAACTGAGTTTTCAGCTTCTTCCCGAGGCTATGAGCGTATGACGCTAACTCTTTCTTCTCCTTAACCGTCAAGCTCGGAAGATTCTTCACTTCACTTCCATTCACCACCGACGAAGACAACTGCGAAACTGCATCAGCTTGCGATTCACCCCCAATGCTCTCCTCCTCAAGTTCGAAATCCACGATTCGAACTTCACCTTCGTAATCACTGTCGNTCAATTTCATCGTCCTCCTCATTGAATTCGACCTCAGAGGGACAAGAAAGGGCGGAGGAAAAGGATTGAGCGACGGAAACGGATGCGGAGGGAGCGAAATCCCGGAATCGATGAGGAGATCGACGAATGAGGAAGATTGAACTGTTTGGTCTGAATTGACGGAAGCAACCGGTGGAGAGGGCAGCGGCGGTGGTGGAGGAGGAGGAGGAGAAGGGAACTGACCGGAGAAGAAGAGAGTGGATCAGGTGAGGGCGAGAGGACATTATCGAAGCTCCCATTTTGCTTCCTTCGTCTTCGCCGCAAAAGAAACCGAGAAATTTGAGAACAGAGAAATCGGATAATGTCAAATTAAAATATTAAACTAATATTTCGAATGGTAACATGAACGGGTGTTTGGTCTAGTGGTATGATTCTCGCTTCGGGTGCGAGAGGTCGCGAGTTCGATTCTCGCAACACCCCATTTTGGTTTTTTTTTAAAAATTAAGCACTGCTTTTTTATTTCCTGAATACTTCTATTAAAAAGTAATGAAATAATATTTAGTGAAGATAAAATATTTCTACGATCCAAAAATTAATATATATATCGAATTACCTGAGTATACATTTTTCTTTCTGGAACAAGAGTATATGTTATTTATTAGTTGACTATAAGACTGTAATTCACAATAATTGTATGCTAACTGATATATAGGGTTTCTTTTCTTTTTGATAAAATAATTGATATAGCATGAAATATGTTCTGAAAAAAAAAAGATATAGAATGAGATATTAGATGAATAGTCTAATTTGTTTTTATTTCGTGAAGTAGTTAATTTTATTTAAATTTTGCTATTACTGTTTCAGTTAGTATCTTAAAATTAATTAGCTTTTTTTTTAATTTTCTTGATAAAATATATGTTAATGAGTTCTTTTGGTTTATGTATTTTCGATTTCGGTTCATTTTACTATTTGTAAAACAGCTATTTTGATTCCTGTTATGTTAAATTTTTGTTCATTTTGATATTTGTATTTTCAAAACATTTGTTTTGGTACTCACATAATATTTATTCATTTTATTTTTATCTAATTTATTTCGATTAATATTTTAGCATGAAATTTTACTCACTAAATTTATTGAAATGTAGTTATAAATTCATATTAAATAGTTTTATTGTGTATAATTTTTTTTAATATAAGGGAGGGGATTCGAACTCACAACCTCTTGGTTTGAGGTATATGTCAACTACTGTTGCTCGCTTTAATTATTGTATATAAAATTTGTGTTAAAATTTTGCAAATAATGATCAAAATAGTCACTTTTTAAAAGATCATGAACCAAAATAGACTTACATCATCCAAATGAACAAAATTTTGAGAGTGCAAAGATCAAAATGGGTAGTGGAACAAAAATACTTTAAATTTTAGACCATCTTTTTATTTTATTTTTAAATTTTGAAAATCACTTTTAAGCATGGTATTAAATATATATCGACATTCCATCGACATTTCTATGTATTCATGGATTTGACATCGATATGAGAGATAAATTGATATTTTCATTATAGTACAAAAAAATCAACAAAATATCGATAATATATACATAATATTAATATTAATTATTTTTAACTTATTTAGAAATAGAAAAAATTTATTTGTATAATTTAATATTTTTTGCGATTTTTTAATTTATCTAACCTTTACATAAACGTATATCGACGCTTTATTAATATTTCTATGAAGTTGAGACATCAACATCAACATCTTAAAACTTCGTTTTAAGCATGGTTTTAAATATATGTCGACACATCAATATTTTTATCGGCATATCCATGTTTTTATGGGTTTGCATCGACATGAGAGGTAAATCAACATTTCCATCATAGTATAATAAAATATGAAAAATATCAACAAAATGTCACTAATATATATATAAATATAATATTAACTTTTCAAAAATAAAAATATATACATATATTAAGATTAATTATTTTTAACTAATTTAGAAATAAGAAAATGTTTATTCGTTTATTTAAATATTTTTTTCGATTTTTTTTATTTTTCTAATTTCTACATAAATAATCGATAGGAAATTGAAGTTTACTTCCACGTCATGATTTAAAAACTTGGTTTTAGGTTCTATTTGGTCCNAAACAGCCGGTGTCACACGTCATTCCCCTTCCCGAAAAAACCCTAACCCTGAGCCTACATGTACGGCCAGCTTCGGGGCGGCGCCCGGCGGCAGTGGCGGCGAAGTTTAGCATATACAGACGAAATCATTAAATTAAACTTTTTCTTTTTTCTTTTCGATGAATCGTACGGCACTATTGGGGGTTGAATTTTACAGGTGTATAGTGTTCAAATATGTTAATAAATTTGTTTTTTTATTATATAATACAAATTTAATATATGTTTTGAAAGAATGTTATAACTTTTTATTTTTAAATGATGGAAGTAAATTAAAGATTCTTAGGATTGATTTGTTGACTATTATATAAATTGTTTTCGAAGATCAATTTGTGAAATTATTTTATTGTGGTATACTAATGTATCAATGACAATTTTTTCTTTAAATGTCATGTTTTTTTTAGTAGATTGGATAATCGAATTCACAACCTCTTAGGTTGACATATATGTTAATTACCGCTCATCAATGCCTGTTTTGTCTCTTTAACTGTCATGTTCGTTCTTTCTTTTATTAGGTCACTGTTGAAAACTATTACAAATTAATTCATGACATTTAAGTATGAATCTAATATTAAAAGTATATATTTTATTATTTTCAAACTTTATCGTGTATTTAAATTATTAATATTTTTATTAATGAATACATCATAAAAAAACAATTAAATGACATGAAAACTTTTTGTTAACAAAATTTATCTAGAAAGATTAAATTGAAAATTTTTAGTATAACAGTGATTACTTTGAAAATTTTATAATATTAACAAAACCAAAATAATAATTTACCTTGGTCGGCCATGGAAACATACTAGAATTTCCAAATTACTTAAATCCAATAGTTTTAAAAACAAATTTGTTAAACAAATATTCGTTGAATTGATAAGAATCAAATGAACAATAAACTGAATCGAAATTATGTATCAAGCAGACCTAATAGATGTGAAGCATAGTTCTTTAGATTCTCATGCATGGGGACTTAAATTGTAATTTGTAAACCCTAGTTCAAACCCAATCACAACCGTTAGATCAAAGAGGGTGGACCCCACCACCTGCCCCTCCCAAGTTTCAGGTGCCAAACTCCACCCCCTCCCAAAAAAAAAAAAGCAAATAAAATAAACTTAAAAAAGGAAAAACCCCTTATGCATGTGACATCCGAATAGTTTAGGTCGCCCACGCGCCGCCGATTAGCCCGACGGTTGTTTCCTTGACCGACTTGCCGGAGCCGTCGCGCGGCGGGCTGAACCTCACCGGCAAAACCTCCACCGTCTCGCACGGAAACCCCATGTTCTCGAAGTGCCGCAGCAGCTCCTCCTTCCCCTAAACAAAACGCCAAGTTTTATAATTCAAATAATTAATTAATTTATTAACCCTTTAATTCGTTTTCTTAAATTAAGAAAAAAAAAAGGTCGGGTTTTAAATCAACTTGAAGCCTGGCACGTGCGATTCGCCGGACTTTGGAGGAGTTGCAGAGATCCCACGTTTGGTTGTCGGCGGCGGCCTTGAACTTCCACGCCCCGCCCGCCGTCGTGAAGTTCACGAACGCGTATCCCTTGTTCATCCCCGTCCTGTCAAACGGCCGGCCGATGAAATGAATAATGGATTACAAAATTCTTTCTCGTAAAAATTTATAAATTTCATAAAAATAGGTGTTGATTTTAAATATATAACCATTTAATTTTTTTAACTTATAAATCCATTTACTCTTCAACATATATCGAAGAGATCTTATTAAATTCTTTAACAATATTTTTTAAAAATAGTTCTTTTCATTTTAATCTTATAATTTAAAAATTTTGGTCCTTTTTACTTATTCATCTTAATCCCTATACTTTTCAATCCCTATACTTTTCGCTTTAATTCATTTTGATCCTTATTCTTTTAAAAAATTATCATTTTGACCTCTTCATTTTTATCTTTAATCTCATACTTCGTACCATCGTAATTTCAACACAACATTACAATCAATATATTTCTTAAAATATAAACATTATTTTATACTTAACATTACAATCAACATTTTTTTTAAAAATTTTTAGAATGTAAACATTATTTTATACTTAAAAAGAGTTTTTTGTTTTATATAAAAATTTGTGTTAAAATTTTGTAAAGTATTTTACGAACATTTTAAAAGTAAATCGACTAGAATGAACCAAAGTTAAAGACATAAAATCAAAATAAACATTTTTAAAGCAGAACTTAAAATGCACCGAAGCAGAAAATGGGATTATTTTGAACTACTTTTTTACTATAGACTAATTTAAAATATACATGAACTAAATTATAACCCAACTTAATAAAAGTAAGAACTAAATTATGATGTAATTGATATATTATCGAATGGTCGAGTAAAATGGATACTTACTTTAATCAAAGTATTGTAGTTACAAATTTTAAAAAATAAAGACAATTTTGATACTCAAAATATAGAGAATAAATCACTTTACTAAATTGAAACTAAAATTTAGAAATTAAATAATTACTTCATATTAGAACCAAATATGTATTTTAACCCCCCAAAAAAACATATATATTTACCTGAAATCTACGGGTAAATACAAGAAATCGAAGGCTGAAACTCCTTCAACTTCTCCTCCTCCACCGTCGCCGGAGCTCCAATCTTCCAACTCCTCATTTTCACTCTTACAGTGCCGGTCCAGAAACTCCACCAGCATCCTCCGGCTACAAAATTAAAAAAAAATAAAAAACCAAGAATAAACTTTAAAAAATAAAAAATCGAAAATTACGTGTATTTGGTGGGAATATTTCTGAGCATAATCGTCGTAAAATTCCCATCTCCGGTAACCGACAAAACACCGCCGCGGCCCTTCCTAATCATCTCACGCCTCCTCATTTTCTTCCAACCCTCGCCGGCCACGTCAGCCCTAACGCACCCGCAATTCCCGGATTTCATTCTACACGAGTTCTTCTTACCGCCGTCAGCGTGGCGCGCCGGGAAGACGGCGGCGGCCTTGTCGTGAGCCGGCGGCGGAGGGCGGGCGGAGAAGTAGAGGAGGAAAACGGGGGAAGTTGGGGCGGAGAAGGGTAAAATGGGAATATAAGGATTTGGGTAAATTTCTATTAAAGGGAGAGGAAGAAAAATGGGGGAGAGATGGGAGATTTGCATGGGAATGAAAATGGGAGCTTCTGGATTGAGATCAGTGGCCGCCATGGGAAGGGAAGCTCGTGAAGAAATGGGGGCAATATGGGAAACAGAGAGATTTTATTTTGGGGTTTTGAAATTTGAAGTGATGATGTAAGAAGATAATCATTACTTGATTCTAATTTGTACTTGATTTTTTCAGAGAAAAGACATCTGTCGCTCAAGAACCATAGTTACCTTTTATTATATAAATGGATTAGTGTGATTGATTGGTAGACCACGTTTGTGAATTTTGATACAGTATCAGACTTCTATCAACTTAAACAATTTTCAAATCATGAAAAAAATAATTCGATCAAGATGATATTAATATATTCCTGAGTTCGTCTCAAAATCAATTAGTAATGAGAGGAATGGTTTATGTCTACCACTCTTTTTGACTCATTGATCTTTGTCGAATCTCATTTTTTGAGCAAATGCTCATTTAAACGTTTCGGACTCTAATACCATATTAATATTCATGAAGTTCCATTATAAAATCAATTGACAATGAGAGAAATAGTCTATGTCTATTAAAAACATTTGTTGGATTCCTTATATTATCAATGTGAATGAAATCCATAATAGATGGGTGGGCACGAACGAGCCACCATGAATTTTGATAGTCTTGTATGCACAAGGTAATCTTATGTTCGGTTGATAATATTGTTGTTTCTATTTTTTATTTTTTATTTTTGATAAATATAATAAAAACTATCTTTGTAGTTGTTTCTTATTCTTGTTTTGGAAAAAAAAAATTATGTTTATTATTTATTTATTATATATGCCGTTATTTAAAACTTTAAATTAAAAAGAATGAGATAATGGAAATTTAATTTTTAAATTAAACATATAATGTTTTTAATTTTTTTTTACATTTATGGAAATTTTAATAATAAAAAAATACTTTTATTTGTGTTTTGAAAATAAAATAATAGAAATAGGAACGGAAAAAAAATAAACTTTAATTTAGTTATTTTTAAAATTTATATACAATTTGTTGGGAAAAATCCCCTACTTCTACCCCAGGAAGAATAAGCAGACAATTACTGATAAATTTAAAGAAGGCAATAAAATAAAGAAAGACAATAATTAACGTGGAAAAACTCCAAACCAGAGAAAAAACCACGGCCCACAAGGGAAAATCCAATATGTGAAAAATTATTAGAATCACACAGATTTCTCTCCCCCAATTACACAAAACACTCTTTCAAAGCAAATACCGCTCAGTTAACTAGAGCTAGTATATCAGGCTTAAAGTATTTCACATGATTAAAACACAAGCTCATGAGCTCCTTTTATAGTAGTTGAAACACGTCTCCTCCCTTGTACTTTTCCGATATGGGACAACTTCTAACATATGAAGATCATCCTTGTATTCCAACGTGGGATAACTTTAATTCCAATATTTTGCAAAAACCCAACACAATTTTAGAATTGTTTCTTAAAAATGAAAAATAATAACAGTTACCAAAAAATTGAAGACAATAAACAATAAATTACCAAATGTACTATTAATTAGTTATCAGGGTATATATAATAGTCTTTTTACCCCTGGGAGAGAGGAATGCATTATTAAATGAAATCAGAAAAAAAAACAATTATTTCAAAGGAATAAATAGCAACTTTTTAATAGTTAAAAGTCATGCTGATTTGTTAATTCTTAAAAAGTATTTATTTATAAATTGAATAGCCTAAATATATATTTTTCGTTCCATTGTAATTGAGTTGTTTTTTTCATTCCATATCTCGTGTTTCAACCTTTTTTATTTTATTTTTATTTTTATTATTGCTATTGTTGGATAGATGTTAAAATCAGTGGATAAGTCATAAATTTGTAGGTTATGATATTTAGTTGAGTTGGTAAAAATTAGAGCAAAAAAAAAAAAAGACATTTCATACAACTTCTTAGAAATTTTGGAGAGGAATATTATAATTTTTTCTTACCATTGAGCTATTCTCGGTTTGGGAGAGAAATATTAGAATATTGTTAAATATGAGGATCTTTTTTAGTATTTTTTTCTTTCTTTTTTTCTACCGTTGTATGCTGGCTTTGACTTTTTTTTTTTTTACTTAAACCTAAGAAATTGAGAAATGGTAAAGAAAAAAAATTATGTACTTAGATGATTTAAAACTTTTAGTTCTAATATGTAAATATTTAGTTTAAAATGACTTCACCTCAATTTTTTAAAATGCAACAATTTATTGGTCGTTGATGTAAAAATAACATCAAGGGGTGATTGATGTTCTTTTACCTATATAGATCAATAAATCAGTAACAGCCAAGATTGTTTTTAAACTATAGGGTACTCCTAAATCTCTATACATATTAAATATTAATACTTCATGTTAACAAAAAATTTCACATCTTAGACTAATTAACTTGCTTCAAAATTTACTAAGGTTATCGAAAGTCAAGTTTATGTTATCACGTGCGTTGATTTATCCAATCACTATAAATTTATTAATCTCAAAAGGTCGTATATAAAACCTAAATTTTGAAAAATATATTTTTATATGGTGTATTTTAGAAGCAAAAGTTACACCAACATAAAGTTTCTATAATTTAATTTATTTGACATTAGAGGTTCAAACTTTAAGGCGTTAATTTCAAAAATATCTTATATAATTTATTTATACAATCTAAACATAATTTAATTACACAAACTCTAAACGTCTTCCAACTTCAAATTTCATAAACTTGACCATATTCAAATTATGAGTGCCAACACATTATTTTTCAACTGAATAACTAATTTAAAAGAAAAAAGCAAAATACCCAGACTCCTCTCAAAACTCAGAGAGGAAGAAGCAGTCAACTTTTTTCATAGATGAAAGAATTAATTTTAATTATAAAATAAATAAAATAAAAATCTTGCTCCATCCAACCCACATCGGTAGAGATTGGCCCAGAATTTCCTTAATAATATATGTGCAAAGAAGCACAGTCGCCGGGCCTGGTAACGTGGGCTCGTAACTCATGTGAGGTCTTTGAAATGACTGGAGTTTCGGCCCATGCTTGATGGGAGGTTTGGAGAACATTTGGCCCGTCCAATCCAAAAATAGAGTTGGGCCATGCGTTCTGGTCTGAGGTCCAGAATTGTAAATGAACAATTTTTTGAAACATACAAAAAGTTACAAGTACATAAATAAAAATGGACGTTTTGAGAGTATGGACACCAAAATAAACCAAAATCTAAAATATAGGACTCAAAATAGTATTTAAACCAAATAATAACATTGAAATAAATTATAAACAAAATTCATTAACATATTATTATTTATTACAATTAATTTTTAATATGTTAACGTTGACCTATACATATATTAAAGAAATCCTAGCATTATCGTTGAAAAGAGTGTCTCCATGACTCATCCTTAAAGAACAAGGGCAAAACTAATGTAGGAGAGTAATAATAAAAACTAAAATCAATGAGGATTTTGTTAAATCCCAATTTCGAAATTTTATGTTAAAAACTCAAATTTTGTATGATAAAAAGTTCAAATTATGAAAATGAACAAGTTATTAAAACTTGAGCTCGTGTATCCTTAATTTGAATTTGGGATTTTAATTAATAAAAAAATAGAATATAAAAATATGATGTCCATTGTCTAATGTAAATAATACATGACAATTTATTGATCTAAAAAATAGATAATATATATATATATATATATATATATATATGGTTATTATTGTTTTTTGAGGGGAGATGGTCCATAAAGTTTGGGCCCATGAATGTGGCCTTGAAAATGACAGCTCCTCCACAGAGCCCAAAACAGAGAGAGCCCGATGACGTGTCCCCATCCTCAGCGGGCGGGCCCCACTTCCCACGTGAAAATAAAAATTAAAAATAAAAAAAACTGCCTCACAGTCACAGCTCATCGCTTCCTTTTCAAGTAAACAATCCCCACCCTCTTTTTTTTCTCCTCTCCCACTCTTCCAAAACGAAACATCAATATTTCTCATTTTTATATATATATTTCACACAACCTAAGGTTTAAGATTTTTACCATATTTCAATATTTTATATTAAGCTAATTTTGTAACATATTGTTACAAAAATTGAACTTTTTTTTTCCTTTTTTATTTCAGGTAAAGTAACGGTTTCGACTTTTACTGTAAAACTAGAGGACAAACGACATTGATGTATATGATACTTGTATATCGAAGGCATCATCAAGATGATCTCTTGGCTTCCTTTGAGTGGAGATGGTGAGGTTGATCCACATTAAGATTCTCTTTCTTTCGTGATTTTGTTCGTTGAGAATTCAAACAATGTCTTGGAGGATAAGATAATATAGTATGAGGTATTTTGAGTATTACAAAAACCAAAGCCAGCTAGGTTTTTTTTTTGTTTGGATATTTTATTTTTAAAATTCAAATATTATTACTTTTTTATTTTTTATTTATAATCCAAAATTGATAAGTTTTAATTTTTTACACAATAACCAATGAGTATTAGTACCTGTCTCAAGGTCCAAACGTAGATGACATTAAGAACTTTGGATATTAAACTCATCTTTATAAGACTCAGATCATTGTTATCGAGTAATAAAAATAACGTTTTAGTTGTATGAGTTTTTATTATCCGTTTAAAAATATATTTTTATTCCTGTGAAATGATTATAGGGAATAGGAGAAAGGACTGTACTCATTAATTAATTTCTAGTTAATGTCAAAATATACCTAATTTGAACGATAAAGAAAAATTAATGATGTATTAATTAATTAAGTGTATATTTAACTTTAGGTAGATTTTTTTTAGTTCAAGAATTGTGAGTTGAAAGATCAAACCATCGATTTTTGAAATAATAATAGATATTTTATCTACTAAACTAGATTCGAATTGACGTTTAGATACATTTTTTTTATATTAATTCATATTACAAGTACCAAGTTTTTTTTTTATTTAGTTTTAGTCTATGTAGTTTCAAACAATTTAACATGGTTGCAAAATTCGCTCACCATATTTATCCATGTCTATTTGATAAATAACTTGTATACTTTCGTAGGAACCTAAATTTGTCAAATAAATATAGCTAAGCAATAAACACATCTACTTCTTACCTTGAA